TCCTTTTTTTTTTTTTTTTTTTTTTTTTTTTTGTACCAGGGATTGAACTCAGGACTCTGTGCTTGCTAGGCAGGTGGCAGAACCATTGAGCTAAATCCCCGGCCCTGTAAAGCTCCTTTTGAGCTTGAGCTGTTAGTATTTATTTCTGTGTTTGATGGTTTTTGTGCCTAGCATTCTTGTACCAGGAAATGCTCTTGCATTCAATAGATTTGAGGAAGGTAGAGCTAGTAATTCTGCTTCATTGTTTCCAGGATTGTTTGGTGGAATTTGGGGCTTCTTTGAACCCCAAGAGAAGTTATTTGGCTCACTTCATTCTCTTGGAAGATTAGCAGAACAAAACAAACAACTTGTATTTTTCTCTAGAGTGCCAGTCATGATGACTGTTACTATCTCAGGCTAGGTGTTGTATTGAGCATTTACTTTCTTTCACTTTTAATAGTAAACCTCTGAGCTAGAGACTACTATAATCCCCATTTTGCAGATGAAGACATCAAAGTCCAAAGAGTTGAACTAACTTGCCCAAGATTACATTTAATTAAGTAAGCATTGGCCAGGTTGTGATTCAAATTAATAGGTCTGACTACAGAGCTCTTGTTTGTAACTGTTGTTCTCTACAGTCTAAGACAACTTTGATTTCTTTGTTATTCAGCAACTGCTTCTGTTACATCTTCTACATTCTTAGGCCATAGTTTCTTGACCCTGAGGCCGGATCAGTTGGGGCCTAATAGCTAGGGGCGATAGTGCTCAAAATGCTAAGAACTCCCAGAGTGGGGAATGGAATAAAGCTGAAAATTATTCTTTGTGACCTTGGTCTGAGCTTTTTAGTGTAAGAATAGCTTTATGGCCAGGAATTGTTGTGCATGCCTGTGATCCCTAGTGTTCAGGAGTCTGAGGGTAGGATCAGTGCAAGTTGAGGCCAGCCTGGGCTACATAGTGAGTTCAAGGCCAACTTGAACTACATAGTAAGACCCTGTCTCAAGGCTATTCCTTTTTTTTTTAATCTACCCATGTTATCTTTCCTAAGTGTGAGTTTTAGAGACTGATACAGACCCTGGGGCTGGAGTATCTAGTATTGGGACTGACTTTATTTCCTCCTCCTAGTTCAAAAGGTGATGACTTATCAACAGCCATTCTCAAGCAGAAGAACCGCCCCAATCGGTTAATTGTTGATGAAGCCATCAATGAGGACAACAGTGTGGTGTCCTTGTCCCAGGTAAGCTGGGTCCACAGTCCAGTCTTACTGCATTGACTTGAGGAATTTCCCTGGGTGTCTTTTCTCATTTTTCTTGCAGTGATCACAGATAGAGCGGAATTTACTGGGAATCCTAATGTCAGGGCTGTTGCTTACCCCTTCTCCCCAGTGACCCAAAGGATTTAACCTTCTTTCCTTAGCCCAAGATGGATGAACTGCAGTTATTCCGAGGTGACACAGTGTTGCTGAAAGGAAAGAAGAGGCGGGAAGCTGTGTGCATTGTGCTTTCTGATGACACATGTTCTGATGAGAAGATTCGAATGAATAGAGTTGTTCGGAATAACCTTCGAGTACGCCTAGGGGATGTCATCAGGTGTGTGTGTGGGGTTCTTGGCCTCTCAGGGTTGGGAGGTCAGAGATAGCCTGTGCTTTAGGTTAATGTCCCCACCTTATAGCCAGGATGACCAGGAATATGTATTTGGCAGCTGTTGACATAAGAAGTTGTGAGAAGGCTCATGTTTCAGGGTTCACTGGCGCTTTGGGTTCTGCCTTCTGGTCCTCAAAATCCATCTCTGCACGGCCCTTTGACAAGTTGACATTTTGGACTTTACTGGTGCCTTTATTTTTTCCTACCAGAGGTATAATCCATCATACCCTAGACCAGTGGTGGTGAACCTATAACACGTGTGCTGCAGCTCACTGTTATTGAAAGTTTTAAAAGGTTTGCCATCACTGCCCTACACTCAACTTTAGTACTGCCCATTGAGGTATATCTGCCAAATAATAATGTCTTTACTAGTCCCTCTGTAGCAGTGGTGGTGAACCTATGGCATGCATCCCCAGTGGCTGGTTTATCATCATTGAAAACTTTGAAAAGGTTTGCCATCACTGCTCTATATTGTGTCCGATTAATGGGTTATGATGGGTCTGGAAAGAAGTAGGAATGTGAAATTGAATAGTTCGTTTAAGGAGCTGAGTGAATATAGGAGAGAGGCATGGTTAGAACCGGACCCAGATTAGTTCGAGTGTAAATGGTTTTGCTTGTTCCTGAATAACTGTAGGCAAGAGGCTTCCCCAAATACCAGTCATCTGGCCAGGATATCATCTCTGCTTCTGGTTCTTATTCATGGGGTCTTAAGGTTCATGTTGTTTCTTCCTGAGACTGCTTAGTCACTTTCTGAAGGTATTCTGACCATGTGGCTGAGATTATTTTATTTTTTTATATTTCTCTGACCTAATAACATTTGTCAGCCCAAGGCTTCTATTTGTGATACTGGGTCATAATATTGACTTGAAGGGTTCATCCTTGAGTATTGCTCATTAAAGACCCTAGTGTTAGGGCTGTACATGTTTTCTTTTTTTTCCTTTTTTTTTTTACAGTATTAGGGATTGAACCCAGGGCCTTTCTATTGAGCAACTCCTTGGCTCTTTTTTATTTCAAAACAGGATCTCCGAGTTGCCCAGGATGGGCTTGAACTTGCAATCCTCCTCTTTAGCCTCAGTGGTGGGGTTATAGGTGTGCACCACCTGCCCAGCTGTGGTACTCTCATAAGTTCTTAATTTTGGCTCAGTAATTAGGAATGTGCTGCCCTGTAGTCTGTTCTAGTGGCTTCTACTACTACCCTCCCCTGGATGTGTTCTAAGTTCTTCCTGGCTGTTCCTTTGCCCTACCATTCTTGAATTCCTTCCTTCCTTCACCTAAAGTCATCCCTGCCTTTTCTCTTATCACTCACCATCTGCTGTCTGTGCCAGGCTCTTTTGGATACCCAATGCTTGGGGCTCCAGTATGGTTGGTAATGTGGAATCTGCTTGTCATCCTCAGCATCCAGCCATGCCCTGATGTGAAGTACGGCAAACGTATACATGTGCTACCCATCGATGATACAGTAGAAGGCATCACTGGCAATCTCTTTGAGGTATACCTTAAGCCGTACTTCCTGGAAGCTTATCGACCCATCCGAAAAGGTGAGAGAGAATTCTAGAAATTGAACTTAAGGATGATTGTTTGGAGGAATACTTAGGAATAAAACTTGGAACATTTGCATCTGTCTCAGTGTCTGTCTCTGTCTTAGTGTCCATCTCTCTCTCTTCAAGTGTGTCTCTATGTCTCTTCCTCTCCCCCTCTCATGGGAATTGAAGCCAGGGCCTTCACACTGAGCTACATCCCCAGCCCATTTTTTATTTTGAGAGAGGGTCTTCCTAAGTTACACAGGTAGAGGCAATCTCAAATTTGAGGTTCTCCTGCCTCAGCTTCCCAAAGTACTGGGATTATAGGTGTGTGTTACCGTGCCTGGCTGATCTTTTTTTCATGTAGATGTTCACATGGGTGTGTCCTACAACATGTTCATGAGCCTTTGCCTTTCTGCTCCAGGAGAATGAGCTGTCCTTTTCTGTACCTAAAGGAGAAGGTGATCCATTTTGGCTGTGTTATAATTCAAAGTTCACAGTTCTGCCATGTCTGGTTATAGTGAAAGCTTGTACTACTTATATCCCAGAAGTTAAAAGTTGATGGCATATGAGATTCTGTTCACTGCACTCTTTTTTTTTTTAAATTCACTGCATTCTTGGAGTGGCAGAGGGATGCTTTAACTTTTTACCCTTAAGTGGTGCTCAGACAGTGTGGGGTAGGACTGGGTAGGATGATTTCCAGTGCTGTGGTCTCTTGAGGAATTCTCACTTGGTCTTTAGTTGACACCTCTAACCTGCTCATCTTGCTCTCATAGGAGACATTTTCCTTGTCCGGGGTGGGATGCGTGCTGTGGAGTTCAAAGTAGTGGAGACAGATCCCAGCCCTTATTGTATAGTTGCTCCAGACACAGTGATCCACTGTGAAGGGGAGCCTATCAAACGAGAGGTGAGTTTACTACCTGATCCCAGTACCTTATTATATTGTGGCTTATTGTGGCAGTCATGTATTAAGTATCAAGGCTGAGTGCTCTTTGGAACTAAGCCGAGAAATGGGAAGCCTCTCAGCTATTCATTCTGGGCCTAGGTGTTTCTTGGAATAATCTAATATCAGGAATTTTAGATTGAATATAAAAGATACAAGCGATTGAAATAATTTTTGAAGTATAGCTGATGATGTCATCCAGGACTCAGCCTATTCCCAGAGTTTCAGGCGTTTGGTTTTAGGGAGCCCTTTTCAATAAAGCTAAGGGTTATGTGAGAACAAAGTGTTATGCTAGAATTCTTTACCTTGGGGTTTTTATGGTGGTTCTTTGAGGCACGGTCCCTTAGGAAGAGCACCTCCTCTACTCATACAGCAGATTATCCATATCAGATAGTGATTTGTAAAATTCAGCTCTGCTGATAGAGTATTTATGCCTTCTTTCTTTGTCTCTTCCATACTCAGGACGAGGAAGAGTCCTTGAATGAAGTAGGCTATGATGACATTGGAGGCTGTAGGAAGCAGCTAGCTCAGATAAAGGAAATGGTGGAGCTGCCCTTGAGACATCCTGCACTCTTCAAGGCAATTGGTGTGAAGGTGAGCATCCTGGGCTCTATGGGAATGAGTCTAGGGTGATAATTAATGACTATACAGTGTCTAATTGTGGGACTTTTCATATATAGCTTGGGTTAGTGGGGCAGTAGTATATTCTTTGGGGTTATAAGACTAAATTTATTAGAGCTACTAACGTTCAGTGGCAGGTTAAGTGCTGTTTTGTACATCATATATGTATTATACACACACGTATATGTGTCAAGTGTGGTGACACATATTATAATTCCAGCTGTTTAGGAGGCTGAGGTGGGAAGAGGATTGGAAGCTTGAGACTAGCTGGGGCAATTTAGTGAGACCTTATGGTGCATACCTGTAATCCCAGCACTTGGGAGGCTGAGGCAAGAGGATCACCAAGAGTTTGAGGCTAACCTGAACTGCGTAGCAAGACCCCGTCTCAAAAAAAAAGGTGTTATAGTTTGCCCATTTTTCAAGAGCAATATCCAGTAGAAGTTAAGGAAATTTGTGAGTACTAAGGGTCTTGAGTCCAAAATATTTAAGAACTACTGTTCTAGAGTATAGCTTTGTGACTTTTTCTATATCATGGGACACATTGAGGATGAAATTACTACTTTGCCTAGGAAGCTTTATACAAGTAATTTCATCTTCTATGTGGACAGTTTCAATATCCTGCCTGTTGATGAGGCTATAGAATAGACAGCTTTAAAGAGGAAAATTTAGGATTGAGCATAAGGAAAAGCATTCTGATGTGGTAATCTTGAGTTGTGATTATTGGAGTGAGTGAGCTAGCTTCTGACAATGAAGAAAATAGGTGCTTTTTTGTGTGGTCTAGGATCAAACTCAGGGATGCTGTACCCCTCAGTAGCTCTTACTATCTTTTTGAGACAGGGTCTCTGTAAGTTACTAAGGACTCCAACTTGGCAGTCCTCCTGCCACAGCCTTTCAGATTGCTGGAATTACAGGTGTGTCCCACCAAGCCTGTGACCCTTTTTTCGTAAATGGTTAAGCTAGTATTTGGTCCTTGGTCCATATAGAAATTGAGCCTTTGAAAGAATTAGGATGTGTTATGTACAGGTACCAACTCCTCATGATGAATGTAATCATTATGTACTGTGCCCTTGGCATAATGGCTTCTTGCTTTGCCCTGTTCCCCGAATCTTGAAACTCCCTGATACTGGATTTTCTTGGGTTTTGTTTTTGGTACCAGGGATTGAACTTCGGACCTAGCAATTGTGAAGCATGCAGTGGTACCACTGAGCTAAATCCCTGGCCCGGGTGTTTTGAGACAGTCTCACTGTAGCCCAGGCCAGCCTTGAACTCATGGTGACCCTTCTTCCTCTGTCTCCCCATTGCTGGGATTACAGGTGTGCACCACTATGTCCTGCTTGGGTAGTTTTTCTGTGATAATTGTTGCCAAGTTTCTAGCAATTTGTTTTGAGACAGGGTCTTGTTATGTAGTTCAATCTAGCCTTGAACTCACTATGTTAGCCCATGCTGGCCTTGAACTCTCAGCCATTCTCCTGCCTCAGACTCCCAGGTGCTAGAATTATATTTGTTAGTAACAAGAGTGACTATAGTCTGAAGTAAACTGTCTAATTAGCATTTACTGCCAAGGGCTTTTTTTCCTTTTCAAGATAAGGTCTTGCTGAGAAGTCCAGGGCTGGCCTTGCAGTGATCCTCTAGCCTCAGCCTTCCTCCTGGTGCTGGGATTTATGGGCATTAGCTTCAATACCTGGTTCAAGGGCTCATTTGTTTTCTTTTTGGCTGGGAGAGGGAGTAATAGTACTGGGAATTGAACCCCAAGGTCTTCACACTGAGCTACATTCCTAGCCTTTTATTACTTTTTATCTTGAAACAGGGTCTTTTTAAGCCTTCCCCTTCCAGAGTACTGGGATTACAGATGTGGTCCATCATGCCCAGCTTCAAGGGCTCGTTCTTTTTGTTTTGTTTTAGTTTTGGTTTTTTAATTTAATTTTATTTTCTTTTTGAGACAGGGTCGCACAATGTAGTTCAGACTGCTCTGGAACTCACTGTGTAGCCCCAGGCTGGTTTTGAACTCACAGTGATCCTCCTGCCTCAGCCTCCCGAGTGCTGGGATTACAGGCGTTCGCCACCATGCCTGGCTGGTTTTGGTTATTTTTGAGATCGGGTCTTGCTCTATAGCCCTTGCTGTGTAGGCCAGCTCGGGCTCTTGAACTTGCTGTGATCCTTTTGCCAAGCTTCCTGAGTGCTAAGATTTCTGGCATGGGCCAGCATGCCCAGCTATGGGCTCATTTTTAATTGTGTCAGGGTTTTATCCTGATTCTTGCCCTCTAGAGCTCTAGTTAAGCTATTTTATGGGCCCAGCATGCTTACACTGCACTACTCTGTTACTCACTAGTCAGGCTATTTTAGAATGGGTGAGGTTGGGGAAAAGTGGGAATGTGAATCTAATCATACTCTATTGGTGTCAGCCTCCTCGAGGAATCCTACTCTATGGGCCTCCTGGAACAGGGAAGACCCTGATTGCCCGAGCTGTGGCAAATGAGACTGGAGCATTCTTCTTCTTGATCAATGGTAAGACACTTGGTTCATCTTGTGTCTGAGCAGCTCACAGGCTCATCCATTTGCACCCATATCCTTGAACATACTTTAGCAAACTTCTGGTGGGTACATTACAGACAGATAAGCAACAAGGGAAAGATATTTTACAATAATACTCCTTGTCCTTTCCGCCTTGAGAAAAATTATGGATGGGCTAGAGGCATTTAGGGGAACACACTGAAATGAGAAAAGGTACATGCTTAATTATTAGAAAAGATTTAAGGAAGGAAGATGGGCTGAGATCCCTTGACTTTCTGAGAATAATACTTAGCTGGTAGAGGTCTAATTGAGTATGCTGCCTCCTACTTTGGACAGAGGTCACAGAGCATCTGCTTTCTTCACATTTTCAACTTTGCTATGAGAAAAGTACACTGAGTCCTTTGGCATCATTCCAGCCCACTCTGTTGACTGTCCTAGGATAATGCCTAGTAGAGGCTGTGAGAAGATGGGCAGATTTTACCCAGTCCTGTCTCTGGCCTAGGCAAACAAGATAATTTATTCTTTTGGGATTGGGAAAGAGTATAGCTTTGTCACTGTTTCTTTTCTGTATCCTTTTAGGTCCTGAGATCATGAGCAAGTTGGCTGGTGAGTCAGAGAGCAACCTTCGTAAAGCCTTTGAGGAGGCTGAAAAGAATGCACCTGCTATCATCTTCATTGATGAGCTGGATGCCATTGCTCCCAAAAGAGAGAAAGTAGGAATTTATCTGAGGGGATACTGGGGGAAAGTTGAAAGGTCCTAGCTTCATTTCTTACCAGACATCTTGTCTTGACAGACTCATGGAGAGGTAGAGCGGCGTATTGTATCACAGTTGTTGACGCTCATGGATGGCCTAAAGCAGAGAGCACATGTAATAGTGATGGCTGCAACCAACAGACCCAACAGCATTGACCCAGCCCTACGACGATTTGGTAAGGACCTCAGATTTCTTTCAACCCTGTTCTTGTATATAGGGTTTTATTGCATTGATCTTACATCTGTCCTACATCTAACTCTCCTAATCTTATTTCTTAAAGCTCTTTATGATAGGGCCCTGGGGTCATTTTCACTTGACCTATATTCTCTAGAGTGTCTAGTTAACCTGTTTTGTCTGAGATCATGGAGTTTCCTGGGTCATAAGATTTTTAGTGCTAGACTAGGAGAATACTGGGGTGGGATGGTCACATTAGGCCCATCTTTTCTTCCTTTTGGACCGGAAACAAATCCTGACAATGTTCATACACTGTCTCACAGGTCGCTTTGACAGGGAAGTAGATATTGGAATCCCTGATGCTACAGGACGGTTGGAAATTCTCCAGATCCATACCAAGAACATGAAGCTGGCAGATGATGTGGACCTGGAGCAGGTGGAGTGGTGATGAGAACTGACCAGGAGTTAGAATAACTCTCTTTATAGGAAGTGGGAGAGAACTGGCTGGTGACTTAGCTTAAGATAGATTGGTTTTGATACCATAGCTGGGAAAACAAAGTGATTTGAAGCTGAATTTAGGAAATTTGCTTGTGTTGTGTCTCAGTTAAATATGATAGAGTAAACCAAATTGTTTGGGCATCTTTATTTCTTGGCCCAAAGTCTATATTTGAGTACTTATATCTCAGCCAGTGAGGGGTCTGCTGTTCACTGTATCCAAAGAAATGGGAGGAGCCAGAGATAGGATTCAGCCGGGCGTGGTGGTGCATGCCTGTAATCCCAGTATTCAGGAGTCTGAGACAGGAAGATCACTGTGAGTTCGAGACCAGCCTGGACTGCATAGTGAGTTCCAGGTCCGTCACAATACATAGTGAGACCCTGTCTCAAAAAATAAAAAGTAAATAACATAGTAAGACCTGTCCCCCCTCAAAACAAAAACGAAAACAAAAACAAACCAGAGATAGGATTCAGGGGAAAGGGTCATAATTCTATTGTCCCTGAGCTTTCTAAGGTAACTGAGCCTTTTTGTTGTTTTTGTTTTGCAGTACTGAGGATTGAACCCATTGTCATCACACTAAGATACATCCTTGGCCCCTTTTAACAAATTTTTGAGACAGGGACTCATTAAATTGCCCAGGTTGTAAGGGCTGGGGATTTAGCTCAGTGGTACAGGGAAAAATAAAATTAAAACTAAAAATAATAAATTGCCCAGGTTAAAGTCAAAGTAACAATTCTGCCTCAGCCTTCGAGAGTGTTGGGATTGTAGTTGTGCACCACTACACCTAGCTTAGTTGGTCTAAGAAATAGGATTGTCAGTAGATCTTCTCTCTGCAGGTAGCCAATGAAACTCATGGGCATGTGGGTGCTGACTTAGCAGCCCTTTGTTCAGAGGCTGCTCTGCAGGCCATCCGCAAGAAGATGGATCTTATTGACCTAGAAGATGAGACCATTGATGCTGAGGTCATGAACTCTCTGGCAGTTACTATGGATGACTTCCGGGTAAGGACCGGCCCTATGCCAAGTACACAAACATATACATACATTTTGACCCCCTTCCATGTACATCTCATCAGAGTTTTTCTGATCTTTTTAGTGGGCCTTGAGCCAGAGCAACCCATCAGCACTGCGGGAAACTGTGGTAGAAGTGCCACAAGTAACCTGGGAAGACATTGGGGGCCTGGAGGATGTCAAACGTGAGCTTCAGGAGCTAGTCCAGGTAGGATAACTTGGTATGAGGTTGAGTCACTGCCTCATTATAATTGACCTGGATGGTTTCAAAGTATGAGCACGTTTACTACAAGAGTTACAAGAGCACAGCTTAGAAGCCTGCTATTCTTCAGTTAGAGACATTAAAACTATTCCAAAAGAGCTTTGTGGAGGGTGGTGCTTCTATTTGTTGTTAGATTTCCTTTAAAATATGGAACTAGCCTTGAATCTTTTCTTTTTCTTCTAGTATCCTGTGGAGCATCCAGACAAATTCCTCAAGTTTGGCATGACACCATCCAAGGGAGTTCTGTTTTATGGACCTCCTGGTTGTGGGAAAACCTTGCTGGCTAAAGCCATTGCTAATGAATGTCAGGCCAACTTCATTTCCATCAAGGGTCCAGAGCTGCTTACTATGTGGTTTGGGGAGTCTGAGGCCAATGTCAGGGAAATCTTTGACAAGGTGAGCTATACGAGGCTAGATTATCTATTCACTTGCTTGTGGGCAGGGTAGAATAGAGGCTGTTTCTTTAAGAAAGTCAAAACCCTCTTATTGTTGGCCCCTCAGCGGAGCCATTGAGGGGTACTTTGTTTTCCTTCTGAGATCTGAGGCGTCCAGTTATGTTAGTGTTTGATTAATCTGTTCCTCACACAGGCCCGCCAAGCTGCCCCTTGTGTGCTCTTCTTTGATGAGCTAGATTCAATTGCCAAGGCCCGTGGTGGTAATATTGGAGATGGTGGTGGGGCTGCTGACCGAGTTATCAACCAGATCCTGACAGAAATGGATGGCATGTCCACAAAAAAGAATGTGTTCATCATTGGAGCTACCAACCGGCCTGACATCATTGATCCTGCCATCCTAAGACCTGGCCGCCTTGATCAGCTCATCTACATCCCACTTCCCGATGAGAAGTCCCGAGTTGCCATCCTCAAGGCAAACCTGCGCAAGTCCCCAGTTGCCAAGGCAGGTGCATTGTTAACAAGAACATTGTGGAGAACCAAAAAGTTCCTAAAAAGATTAGATAGATTCTGCTGGGGATTTCTGGGGTTAGGGCTGGTCTTAACAGGAAGCTGGAACATTTGAGGATGTTAGGACAATCTAGAACCAGAAATAAAATGGAGGTAGAAGATGGGGAGGACTGATATTGGGGTAGTCCAAAGATTAGTGTGTCCCAGGGGAGGAAAGGCTAAAGGGAGCTAGCTCTGTTGCTTCTTTTTAGGATGTGGATTTGGAGTTCCTGGCTAAAATGACTAATGGCTTCTCTGGAGCTGACCTGACGGAGATATGCCAACGTGCTTGTAAGCTGGCCATCCGTGAATCCATCGAGAGTGAGATAAGGCGAGAACGTGAGAGGCAGACAAATCCATCAGCTATGGTGAGTCTGCATGCTTTCCTCAAATGTGCTAATTGTGGGGAGCCAGGGACTCTACCATGCTCTGGAGTTGAGTACAAGATTCTTAGATCATATGACTGAGGACATACTGAGTAGGGTGTCAAAGAGAAACAGTTCTGAGGTAAACCTATTTAGTCTGGAATAAGGCTGAGAAGAAGTGGGCAGGCTAAGTGTAGAGTATATTGAGTTCTTTAAGGAAATCAGAATATGATTATGTATATAAGAAAACAAAACAGTTTCAAATCTGGAATCCATGTATCATTCCCTGGAAGTAGACGAAGGGGTCAGGAGACCTCCCAAAATTTATGTAAGTGTGTAGATGTAAGCTCTGCAAAGGTTTGTTGTCTTACCACCTCACTTGTTTACCACTGTATTTTGGCTCCATGTTTAGGACTTAGTGAATGAAGAAATAATTAAATGGAGTTTTGTTTGTTTGTTTGTTTTTGGTACTGGGGATCAAACTCAGAACTTTGTGCTTGCAAGGCAGGCAGCGGCACCACTGAGCTAAATCCCTGGCCCTAAGAAATACTTAAATGAATGAATGGCTTGTTTTATCTCTTGAAGGGAGTCTTCTTCAGTAAAATCTTTAAAATTATTGGTATACTGATGCTAGGAAGCACACTTATAAGTCGCAGGAATTGGGATGGCTTCTCAGTGAAAGAGATGAGGTTTTGAGCTGGGCTGTAAAGAGAGTGGAGTTTGGATAAAGGGATAAGCAGTTCAAATGATTTGTTCTGGTAGGATTGTAAGAAGTGGGAAAACCTGGGTGGGTTCAAAAAAGTGTAGAGTATTTATGTTACTGGGAGGAAGGCTGTTGGATATAATCCAGGTGTGGTCACCATTGACATTTTCTTCTTAAATTTTAGGTTTATTGAAGAATAGTAGCCATACAGTAATACATATACCCTTTTAGGGGTCGGTGTGCTTCCCCCCACCCCCCTCTCTGTACCGGGGATCAAACTTAGGACCTTGTGCTTGTGAGGCAGGCATGGCACTACTTAGCTAAATCCCTGGCCCAGAAATTTCTATTATCTTGACCATGTTCTCTGGCCACTTTAGTCAGCATCTTTTTCTAGGCTTTTGGTAACCACTGATGTGATTTCTGTTCCTACATTTTTGTCTTTTTCTGAATGCATTGTTTGTTTGTTTGTTTTGAAACAAGGTCTCACTGTGTAGTTCAGGCTGGCCTCAGAATGCAGCAATCCCCACCTGGCAGATTGTTAAATTTTTAAGAACATTAACTCCAGGAAGTTTGGCCTGTTGACTTACTGAGGTTGGATTGGAGGGACAGGTGACCAATAGATTACTGTTGTCATGGGAAGTTGAGAAGATACTGGTTAGAGGCCAGGCTGAGCCTTAATAATCCTGGTGGTCTGTTCCTAACTTTGTAGGAAGTAGAAGAGGATGATCCAGTGCCAGAGATTCGCAGAGATCACTTTGAAGAAGCCATGCGCTTTGCCCGCCGTTCTGTCAGTGACAATGACATTCGGAAATATGAAATGTTTGCCCAGACGCTTCAGCAGAGTCGAGGCTTTGGCAGCTTCAGGTAACTTGGTTGGGGGCAGTGGGCATTTCCTAAGTTGTCTTGGAGGTCTGCACTAAAAGTGGTGAGAGAGTCCTAAGGAGACTAGAGGGTGGTTATGAAAATCTTACATAGGCCTTATTCTAATATCCCCTCCCACTTTTTTTTTTTTTTTTTT